TCTATGGTACACTCTTTCCAGGGTCCACAACAGATTTATCGTCACAGGCTTGTTATTTATTTCACCACTCGTTTTTTTGTGCCTCTTGCCATCTGAGTAAAAGAAAGAGGTCGTATCGGCTACGTTAAGCTGTGGAAGTCATTGTAGTCATCCGGATATGGGTAAAATCAATGGGGAGAGCTGTGGCTCACTCAAATGTAGTGTGGATGATGAGTTGGCCTGTTCAACAGAGGCCAGATTACTGGAGACAATGATGAACAGAGATCTGCATCATATGGGTTTTAATCTAGTGTTAACCTACCTTGAATATAAATGACACTGATTAGAATGTACACTTACATATTGAAAAATTATTCATACAAATGATAATAAATTACATATTTTATATTTAATAGTATTTTATAATTAACATGAAATATTAAAGTACTATTTTATATAATTATAAAACCAAATTAAAAAGGACACTTCTTTGAGTTTCTTTCATCTAATATAAAAAGTCAGGTAAAAAAATAAATTATACATATACCCTTTTATATATAAAAATGAGGTATGTGTGTATATACAATATTTCATATATTTTTGACAATTAAATTTGAAAAATGAATTCAATGGCATTTTAATTCATGTACTTTAGTTCAAGTCTAAATCTGCTCATTTGCTACGTATATAGATAGTAATATATAAGTAATATATAAATGTGTGTTTATAAATATATGCATCTGTGCGTTTGCTACATATATATAGCAAATGAATAGCAAACAAACAAGCATACACACACACACATATATATATATATATATATTGTTAAGCTGTTACATAATTTTATATATTTTCACCAAAATGAAAGTCAATTACATTTTAAATTATATACTTTAGTTCAAGTCTGAATCTGCCCATTTGCTACGTCAATTCAAAATTCATTCTCAATCCAATTCTGAATAGTTAACGCTTTAATTTTCCTTCTATAAAATCCTCAAAACCCAAATTTCTTCCTATATGAAGATATATGTGATACTTATGACTCAATGGAAATGTGTCAAGTTTACCAACCAAACCAGTAAGTGTTTAAAAAGTGAAACTATTTTTTAATCAGAGGCAAGGACAGATCAGAAGGTTGAGAAAATGACACAGCTTTACTATAAAGAAAGGCGTCTCGAGCAGATTAAGTTGCAGCATCTCGTCATACACGCATACATGTTGAACAATAATGACTGACCATTTCCTTGGCCAGATTTACAGAAAAAATAAACACTGTTAACCAGCATGATCAGCAATTTAAAAAGTTGCTCCGATGCACAAATGGCTAAAAATACAATAAGGATGATAATAATAATCAACATGTATGGCTTTGAAAAAAATCAAACGTGTCATGAGAATAGCTGTGGCGATTATTGTACTCTTTGTTTTATGGTAACTAAATTATGCATGTTACCAGTTAAGTACACAGATGATCCGACATTGGGAGAAAGACAGAATAAGCAATATACCAACAGATATATAGTTGTATATATTTTTGAACATCGCCAGTCCACAACAACTCATGGACAGGGGAACAATCTGTGAGGACGATAAAAGTGGCTGCAGAAGTTCAAGGCAAGGTTGGTCAAAATAGTTTTAAGCCGTCTCTGAATTGCCTTGATGTTAAACCGTGTGACTCACAAAGCTACAACAATGTCACGTGTGATCTAAAGAGTTGTCTGTGCATGTAAGTCACTACAAAAGCTGTGCAGAAAACAGAAGAGCGAAAGGCAAACGAGGACAGTATTGCTTTGAAGTACTGGAGAGAAAGCAGATCTGATGGATCCAATCAATTTCATTAACACGTATTTATTTACTGCGAAGTAAATAATACGACTGCGATGTGTATACGACAACGCATCCCTATCAGGGAGTTATGACCTGATATTCAGCCCTTTCAAAGAGCATGATCAGCTGGGCCATGTCACAGGTGAAAGGCATTATGGGAGCCTGTGGTGAAGTAATACATGAACAGACAAACCATTTTCTCTTGCATAACACAATTCAAATGTTTACAAAAAGGTATCATCCTCAGTGCAGAATGCTACAATGGTACAGCTCTACAGCATTTGCTATTTACATCATGGTGTCAGCCGGGTGAAATTGGGACGTGAGTGAAGAAATATGTCACGATTAAAATGACAGGACACAAAAACAAGTCTCATTCAAATTACCCAAGATCACTGGCTGAACCCGAATCCAAACCTGTGCGTGGAGTCTTGCATTTTGGGATGCACCAAAAGTATTTTTATTTTTACTTATTGTAACACAGTAAACCTGCTCAAAAAAAAGAAGAAGAAGAAAGAAAAAAAAGGATATTTACATCATGACCGAGGCCTTATTTGAAAAAAAAAAAAACACAATATTTCCATTTCATGTTAAGTAGAAATTACATTAAATAAATTCTAAAATATTAACACAATAGCAGTGATACGACATAAATACTAAAAAGAGCAGCACAATTAACAAGTAAGACATAATCCTTTTAACGGTGACATCACTTTTGACTATTTTACATCGCCACAAACATGGTACTTGATCTCTGAATTATGTTTTCATCTACATTACACAGAGAAGATTTCAACAGCACAGCTCAGACTCAATAAATTATTAATATATTAGTCCCTATTATTTTTATAAATAAAATCAAGATAAATATGTAGAGGGGTCCAAAAGTTTGAGATCACTAGTAAAAATTAATATATGTGGTTTGTCGCCCTTTTGCTTTAATGACAGCAGAAATAAAGCTGCATAAACTCAGCAAGTTTGGGTAAAACCAGGATGATTTTAAAGCATCCAAAGACAGATGTTCTTAGAATGTGGAAGAAAAATATCTGACCATCTGTAAGGAGTCACAACAGACTCAATGTTTCAAATAAATCGGTTCCTTATTTAATTAAATCCTAACGTTGGCATGAAACAGAAGCTGCGATCGTGTTTTCCCCCAATGCGTTCAGCTTCTCGAACAAAAGAAAAGTGATTTGTCTATTGAGAGCTGATTGCAAAATGGCACATGATTTAAAAATAATAATAATAATGTGCATGAATAAATCATTTATATATATATCCATAACATTGTCAACTTTGATATCTTTAAATATCTACATTTTTAGTTTTCAATTTTTCAAAATCATAAAATGTTGTTTATTTCCAGGTGCAAATTTAAAAATCCCAGATCCTCAGACTTTTGAACCATAGTAGTGCAGAAGATAAAGTAATGGTAGTACAGTAGTATGAGAGCGGCACTACAGTTACAGTGGCATGTCTTCAGGGCAGTGTCTCAGCTGCTCTCCCGACAAAGAGAATCAACACTGGATCAACCCCAAACAATATGTACACTTCTCTTTACCAACTCGGTATGTCTATGTTGAGTTATTCATGTCTAGAAATCCTCATATGACAACCCACTTATGTATTGATGCACCCCAAACTTTTTTAGACTCCTTGAAGAAACTTATTCTGACACCGAAATCTTCACCAAGCTGATTTAAAAAAAGAAATAAAGAAAAACAAACGTGATCATCATCGTCATTCTCTTTTGAGGACTATATAAATCAAGTCTTATAAAAAAAGGAATATATCATTGTGTATTTAACTCTTCATATTACCTCTCCATTGTCCTTTGCGCTAAAATACTACCATGCTTCAAAATGTTGTCTTTTTTTCTTCATTTACAAGTGATGCCATGTAACCTCGGCCGATAAATATTGGTTAACAAAGCAATGGCAAATGAAAGCATGATATCAGTCCTGTCGCATACTGTATACAGTCAGAACTGGATGTTTTTTTTTGTTGCGAAAGTCAACATACAAAAGAAAACATGAGATACTAACGTCCAATTTTAACCCAAAAGCACGATAATGATAATACACAGTGCATAGTTTTATAAAGCACATCAAACCGTGCCAGCACTGTCTAGAGGATTCATGTTTTTAGATGCATCTATTTGCGGTGGAGGAAAAAAAGGATCATTCACTGCGGAAATATCAATATGATAAACGTATTTGCCGACATTCTGCAGTTGAGTCGACCCACAGTTGATATGTCACAGGTCTGGTGCTTGTATCGCCGTTTCTTTGATGCTAGCTACAGTTAGGAGGAGGAGGAAGGGGCAGATTAAAGATTTACAAAAAAAAAAAAGAAGAGCATAAGCCACATGAAAAGCTCAAAAGTCCGCCCCATCGCCCTAAAGGCACACTAAAGTCTGTGTGGGGCATGGGGATACCTTAAAGAAAGGTTTCTGAACACCGTTTTTGGCTCACCTGCCTTTCCCCATCCCTTGTTTAGAAGGATCATGCACTCCAGTGCGTTGTATGTGAATACTTGTAATTCTCTCTGTATGTATATATATATGTATTTTTACGTGTGTAGTGGCACCCTCCGGCCCGCTGGGGGCGCCGTGCTCAGGTTAGGGTGCTATGCCAGAGAGTAGATGGCATTAACGGGTGACGTGGCTTCTGAGCTCTCGTTTCCTTCTGTCTCCTCTTTGTCCTTCTTAACTGTGTACTGGCCTATGAAAGAGCCGTCCTCGTTGAACTGGCCGTCTCCTCCTTCACCATAATCCACCAGACTGTCGTCGCTCTCTTTTACGTTCCCGTCTAGGGATGTTTGGCTGCCTTGCAATGGCTTGTTGTCTTCGTCACTGCTGTTGGGAGAAAGAGAAAAAGAGTTAGAACATGGTTCGACTGGATAGCATGGACCTGTTACAGTAGCACCCTTAATTTGGGGGATGTTGTGACTCCAAAAGCATGTTAGACAACCATTTAAAAGTAGGCATGTATTCTGATTACATAAACACAAGCAACTTACAAATTACTTCATAATAGAATAGATTTTAAATTCATTTTCAGCAGCCATTACTCCAGTCTTCAGTGTCACATGATCCTTCAGAAATCATTCTAATATGCTGATTTGCCACTTAAGAAATCATAATTTCTTATTATTATCAAGTTTGAACGTTTTTTTTTTTGTGGAAAACATTTTTTTAAGGGTATTTTGATTGCATAGAAAGTTTAAAACATTATATTTATTCTAACATTATGAATACTTAATAATACTTAGAAGTATTCCTTTTTATGTATTTATTTTACTGACACCAAACTTTTAAACAGTAGTGTATCAGAATATTAAAGAATATAGGAAAAGAAAAAGTAGAATATTAAAACACCAAAATCCTACTTCCCAGATATGTGGCATCTGAATTTAATGAGATTTTCCAAACAGTTGACAGTTTTGCTTTTTATTCCATGTAAAAACTATTACAAATGCTGAGAAAAACATTTCAAATCTCACTTTTGAGAAACGCCAAGGAGAAAAGAAAAGTCCCAAGGGGAAAGAACAACAAATGTATTACTAAAGACAAAGACAAACTCTTTGCTCTCTGTATTCTATAAATGATGTCATGGCTATAAATTATTCATTGCACTATATTATCACAGGTAGATCTTTCATCCCCTGTCCTGTCCATGCCCACACATGAGAGTCGTTTTAAAACGGACCTCTGCTGGGGGGTAAGAGTGTCATGCATGAGGAACTGGGACCTACAGTAGGCTACATCAACTGAGAAGCACCAAGAAAACAGAAAACCACAAAGCAACACCTATGAGATCCTAAAAATCGTTGACTTAGCACAGAGGTCCATTTTAAATTTCATGTAGTATCCATGGACCTTGTTGTAAATTGTATTAATGATGGGCTGTTAAATTGAAATGTTGTAAATAAACTACTTTGTCCCCTCACAAAACAAGGTTTACAACCAGGCTCCATGATATTATCCATTGCTACGGGTCATAAAAATGCTTTTACCAACTGCATATATCCTCTCTATAAACAAGGAGCAATTCTGCATCAAATGGATATTACCAGATGACACGGTTCTGTGCATGCACCATGACAACTGGAAAATCATGGCTGTTTAGTTATTTATCTTTAGATTCAATAAGGCACATTCAGGAAATGCTTTTTCCCCACCAAACACACTCTCTGCACCAGCAAGAGTTCAGGGAATAAAGAGAATGGGTTTTTGATTTAATCGATCAGTCCTCACACCCACAGTATCACATGCTTTTCACCTCAAACAGTGGAAAAACTGATTTTCAATGAGCGAAAGCAATCTGTATTTTGTATTGTACATCATTTTTGACAGGATATATGAAAACTGTGATGACGTGATGCAAAATTTAGCATGAATTGCGGCTTGTTGCATACACCTAATTGCAATTGTACCTGTGGGAACTATTTCACAAGACGCGAAATACGTACCGTCATGTATGTTTCGATACATATTCGATGTGAAATGTCCACTGAGTGGCACTAAAAGAGTGTTTGTTTTTTTCCCCCCGGAACAGATGAACGTACATATGGTACGTTTTATGTGACGTTGGTTTTGTACGTGTCACCGCAATTATGATTTGAAATGTCCATTGAGTGGCACTATAACTCTAATGCTCCGTGACGTTTTACAATATAGTGCCATCTGCACTACACCTAAACCTACCCTAATGGTATGAACAAAAGTGAATGTGACGTAAAAACGCAATCACAAGCATGCCGTTTTAGCTTGTTTTACTATCCCTCATCTTTCAGCTCTTTCATTGTGAGTCATGTTTTTCACGGGATTTGTACCCAAGGATTCCGCATCTTATGTCCAGCTGAGCTACCGAGCAAGATTATTAGGCCTATGTCCGGAAAGCGAAACATATGAAGCGGTAATCATAACTGTGTATGAAAACGATTACAAGTGCTTGCTGTTTTACCGCCTCTAGTGTTCATTTCTGTTGGAAACTGCAGTGATATGTATTTATTGGTACGTAACCTTATTTCATGTCTGGACGAAAAAATTCCCACAGGTACGTTTTCATCATGAGATCAGGTAGCCTAATTTTTCTAAAATATTTTAAAAGCAAATAAATGAATTAATGAACAAATAGGGCTGTCAACATGACATTAAGCCGAGTAGTCAAATCAATAGATCCTCTGCAGTGAATGGGTGCCGTCAGAATGCGAGTCAAAACAACTGAAAACCATTGCACTAATCCACAAGTAATTCATACGATTCCAGTTCTTCAACCAGCTTTCCACTTTACTAGATGTTAATTGACAGACACGTTCAGTGTGGATTATTGTGATGTTTTTCTAGCTGTTTGGACTATCATTCTGACGGCACCCATTCACTGCAGAGAATCCATTGGCATGCTGTAATGCTAAATTCCTACAAATCTGTTCTGATGAAGAAACAAACTCTTCTACATCTTGGATGATGTGTGGGTGAGTATATTTTCAGCAAATATTCATTTTTGGGTAAACCATTCCTTTAAATTGACAGCCCTATAAATAAAGTTATTAAATGTACAGATTTGGTAAATTGCTATATTCTAACAACATCAATTTTGAAGCATGAATTATGAGTCATGTTAGAATGACAGGGGAAAAAAATGTGTCATGGAAAAAAATTTTATGTATCCTATGCTTTCGGTCATTTATCAATACTAAAGGAGAAGGACATGTATGAATCGATTAAAATCAAAAATGCAAGGCAGAAAAAGCTTTAGTTCTTGATTAATAATCCAAAGGCAGGTGAAATTAATGCCGCTCTTTTCATACCTTTCCCTTTCAAGAGACCTTCATTGGACCAACAGGAATGGAAAACACCCAAGAATAAAAAATGATTAAGGGAGAAAGAGTGAGAAAAAATGAATAAAATGAAACATCTGTGTCATCAAAGAGGCACTTAAAAGAAAAATAAGAGGAAAAAGAAAATGATGCAGTGAACATCATAATTATAAACAGCCCTCAGCAAATAATCTGTCATTAGGTTTTTGCTTATTTTCTAGATGTGGCATTCTATTGAATACAGATCACTGACAAAACCCAAGGGCTCTGATTTCCAGCAGACTCTCCTCTCAGATTGTAGGAAATGCATTATAAATTCTGAAAGCCAAAGGGTATCATAGACTCAATGAAGTGAAAAACCATACATTTTCCTAGCAAACTCCTTGCATGCAAATATATGTTCAACTGAGTTTCCTCTAAACAAAGCAGAATCATTTTCACTTTTCATGCTGTCATTGAATCTACGTGTCCTTGGTTCCTTTTTGACAAATTAACCTTGACATTACAGTACCAGCTTTTAAAATATGAACCTTACAATGAAAAAATAATCATTATTATCATTTTATTTATAGGAGAGTCAAAATTATTTTAAGAGGGAATAAAATGCTTCAGTACTTGACATTTTATTTCAGGCCAAAGCTTTTAATACAAATTCCAATTCACTCTCAGAGATGAACGGCTTTTTATGAACCATGCGATAAGTGTTTTAAGTGGTGCTGTAAGTGTTTACAGCACCGTGTCCTAAACAGGCAAGTTTCAAGTGACAAGCAGTTTGCTCTTCTTAAAAAGCACATTCATGTTACATTATGTTTAAGGTGACCATATGTTTTCTTTGTTTCCCGAGCATGTATTAGATGGGATTTCTAAATTGCATAAAATGTCTGGGTTTTGTCTGTGTTTTCTTATTGATATCATACTTGTTGAAGGTAATGACTGACAAGTAGTTTGACCAATAGCGTGCAAGCATTGTACATAATCAACCAATGGTGGCCTGTGAGAAGGTGGGATCTACATAGAATGATCAAACCAAAGCAAATATGCATACATTTAAAGTGCCCCTATTATGGATTTTTGAAAATTACCTTTCATGTAGTGTGTAACACAGCTCTAAGTGAATGAAAACATCCTGCAAAGTTTTAAATCTGAAAGTGCACCGTGTATAAAGTTATTGTCTCTCAAAAGAAAGAGTCGACTCTTGAGTCATTGAAACGAGTCGTTTTTAAAACGAATCCCAAGCCATTTCATGTTGACGTCAACATGAAACATTAGCATATTGCCCGCCCACTTGTTGCGCACGCAGACCCGGGAAAACTTCAATAACCAGTTTACTTGGACCAGCTTCTTCCGCCTGCGAATCACAACCTGTAAATGTCATAAAAATTGTTGCTTTCATGTTCTCTGTAGCATGCAAAATACATATGCCTGCAAATAAATATGGTTTATGTGTGTTGTGTTTGCTCCGCGCAGCTTGTAACATTAGGTTTCTGACTCTGGCTAACAGCAACATCTGTTCGCTCGCAATTGTCTAAAAATGTGTCGATGAATAGTGATTTTTTTACTGCCAAAGGACAAGGCTGTGAAGAATCAATGGTTAAAGTTCATTTTTCCAGCAATACCACAGCAGTATAGCCCCAACCTTGCGTCCCCGTCATTTTACTGATGACTGCTACAGCAACCTAAATGTGTACAACGTGGGATTTGCATGCCAGTTGTTGCTGAAGGAAGGATCAATAACCAGTTTACTTGGACCAGCTTCTTCCGCCTGCGAATCACAACCTGTAAATGTCATAAAAATTGTTGCTTTCATGTTCTCTGTAGCATGCAAAATACATATGCCTGCAAATAAATATGGTTTATGTGTGTTGTGTTTGCTCCGCGCAGCTTGTAACATTAGGTTTCTGACTCTGGCTAACAGCAACATCTGTTCGCTCGCAATTGTCTAAAAATGTGTCGATGAATAGTGAATGTTTGTCGTTGTTATTACTTGGAGTTATGATAAAGAATAGAGCAATACGTTGGTGTACAAACTGCAGTGCTTTATCAATACGTTTCTGCATTGGGCTAACGCATATACCATGGCTGTTTTGTTCTTTGACCTTGCATGCATGTCAACCTGCTGTTGGGGACTCCCAAAACCAAAATATGAACCTTTCATAACCCATAATAGGGGCACTTTAATGTATGAGAACTGTAGAGAGCACGTCAAGAGGAAAACGAAGCCTAAACCTAGACATGTTAGGCAATTTAGAGATCCCAGCCAGGACATAGTTGGGAAAAAAGAGGACGTATGGTCATGTTTTATGTAAAACCCTGAAAACATCCTGTCTCTATCCACACCTGAGCTGCTTGTAGCTGGCTTTTCACCCTGGCTGCTTTATTGCATCGTGTTTGGTTAGGACACGGTGTGTTTACTTTCATAAAATTGCTGGATTACATCCACAATAAAGGGACCAAGGAGTTTAACACCTTTTTTATAGAGCTCAAACATTGATTAGACAGCAGCTTTAGTTCCCGTTCTGTCATCCACATGTAGGCTAACCAATGACATGCTCAGGCTGAGATGATGTGCTGAAACCAAATACCTGTTCTCGTTCCTTAACAACCCAGCCACCAATTTGAAAGAGGAGGGGGAAGAAAAGGGATCATGAAGATGGAGTTGACCACATCATTCACATGTTAGATGGAGAGAGACGTTAGAAAGTAGAAAGGGAGGGCTCAGCTTAACTTACATCTTAGCATTACTAAGCTAATCAGTTACTGAAGATCTGTGGTCTTGATCTCCTTAAAGTTAATTAGCTTTGACAAAAGGCGAACCATTTAATATTACATAACTGTTAATAAGTGGTTTTATTAAAAATGATTTAGTCCAAATGGTTAGAGCATGTTTTTCAATTAGTTGTTAAGAGGATTACACCAAATCAAACTACAAATCCATGTTACATTTCTACTGAAATGTCAAATGTAGCTTAGGTGCAGTGTTGGAGAAGCTATTACTGTATCTGAAAATGCTCCCTGTAGTAGCCTATATAGTGCACATTTGTAATTGTAAGTGAACAACTTCAGTCGTTTATACAGCAGTGGCCAAAATTGTTAGAACACTTGGCATATTTAAGAGGTTTCAGTTGTTTTTGTTGAATTGGCCATTACAATACCCATAAAACAAACTATTGCCAGAACTACCTGCAATGGAAGGAATCTGCTGGAACATTGAAAATGATGGACTGGCCCCCTCAAAGTCCGGACCTCAACCCCATCGAGCAAATTTGGGGTGAGTTGGAAAATAAACTGGACAGATCTATTGGACATTCAAAGGAAAGTTTTTGGCTTGTTGCAGAAGGCATGGGAAAACATTAGTGTTGAAGTTCTCAGGTAATATACTGACACTATGCAGAGAGATGTGCTGCTGCAATTTCTGCAAAAGGTGGACATACCAAATATTAAAGTCAAAAGTGGATAAAAACAGTACGACACTTCTATTTTGGCCACCACTGTACCTACAATGCACTCTTTGAGCTCACATACACTGGCTAGAACACTATTTCCCAAAATCCACCGTGAATTCACTCACTTAATTTTGTCACTCCTTGCTAATATAGTGCACTTAACTGCCATTCTCTATATAGGAGTTAGTGAATGAGTGAATGAGTGATCGAGTGAGCGATTTCAGACACAGCTTGTGTTTAGCTTGCTATACTAATCAAGCTACCTTTCTGAAAAGTTAACAAATGTTAAAATTTACTAGCTAACAATATTAAACTATTTACATTTGTCATCCAACTGAAAATGCTAAGTTTGAAGTGTTGCTATAGTTTATTCTCAACATTGCATAAGTAACATGACAATTATTAGCTTATCGAGCTAGAGATATTGGTTCAGATGTATAACGTCTGCCTAAAGCCCTCACTGACACTTCCCTTTACTCTTTGTACCCAAGTTGTAATTTCCACACCATCTTGAAAGATGTGGGCTTACACAACAAAACCTTGAAAATAAATTAAGGATGACAGGTAGAAAAAAGTTTGTTTGTTAAGGTTCACACTGCCCTAACAAATGCCAACATGGTAACACACTGATCCGAACAAAAGCCATCAAGTGCCAGTGCTAGTTAACTAAAGCTAAAATGATTCTAAATAGTTTTCTTTGATTGCAAAACAGCCGAAATACAATAAATATAAATGTTAGAATAAAAACTTTGAAAATTATAAATGTTGCAATGGTGTTGATGCCGATAGCCTAGTGGTCAAGTGCACCGACATATAATGTTGTTGCGTTATGGGCGTCCCGAGTTCGAATAACGACATTTCCCGAACCAGCCCTCTCTTTTTCTCCCACTTCACTTCCTGTCCGCTCTCCACTGTCGTATCATAATAAAAGGCAAAACACCAAAAATAAATCTCTAAAACAGAAATGTTGCAATGGTAATAAGATTACTGAAATAAGATTAAGTACAATATGATTAAACTTGAAAAAAAAAGCATATAAAATAACTGCTAAATTCAAATGAAAGCTTAAAGTATAAAAATGTAAGTTCATATTATTATTAAAAAATATTAATAAACACTATAATAGTGTATTAATAATACTAAAGAAAGATTGTCAAGTGCTGGAAGTTGGAGTTTGTTGGGCCAGTGTGAACTCCTCTTCAGAGTTGCACACTGATTTTTTCACACTGACTTCAGGGTGTGAAGTTATGAGATCTGTCTGGTTTAGAGAGCAGAGGTAGAACTGCTCAGGGAGGACTCATTTAAAGAAGCTGATGTTGGTGAAGATGGTGATAAGATGCCCACTGGAGAGTTTTTAACTCCATGGCAACCACAGTTTCCTGAGAAATTGGTGCATTGTTTTCCAGCTGAACTGAGATCTATTAACCGCAGCAGGCTTATTTTGTGTTTAGGTAATATGAAAGCCTCATCAACAAATGTTTTTGGGGGTGTTTATGTAAGTTGTTAATTACAATTTGTTTGGTTTACATGGTTAGTTGTTATTTTCGATTAAAATGAAAAAGGCATATTCCCCTCTGCAGGGTGAGAGCTAAGTTCAGGACCTGTAACAGGTAAAACAAAGTTATTCATCAACAGGTTCAATATCATAAGTAGCAGAAAGCGCATATAAACAGTTCTAAAGTAAGATTATTGAAAGCCCTTTCCCTTCATATGAACCCAAATAGCTGTTTATGGAAAAAAACTGCTTACTTTTATGGTAGAAGTGATCAAAAGTGCAAACTTACTGATAGTCAAATGAACCATCTTGGTCTTTATGGTCAACAGGATCTAAGGGGAGGTCTTTCTTGTCTCTCACTGGTAAAAAAAAATGCATTTATGTATTGCAATACATAAATCAATTGATAAAAAAGGGTAATTTACATATCATAAATAAATAACCCTGGGTTAATGTGGCTGTGTATTTGCTGCATTTTACCTGCATATTTTCCTCCACGACTCCTCTTGATGAAACAAACAATGAGCAGGATGAGAACCAATAGAGCGACGGCACACATCAGCCCAATGAACCAGCCCTGAGTAGCAATGTCTTCCTGCTCCTTGTAGGCTGTTAACAAACAAACACACACACAGAAAGGAGGGACGAGAAAAAGAGAGGTACAGAATAAAATGTTTAAGTTTTGTAATGATATACTCGTAAGCAAGAATGGCAGAAATCAACTCCCACAGATCATTTTAGACATTAAGAAGCTTGTTCTCCTCCTGCATAATTTATCGAGCCTGGAGAACAGCTGAACATACTAACACCAAATGGAGAACCTAATAAATCTCTCAGATTTTCAGCAACATGGTAGTAGGAGTAATTTGACAGCCATCCTTTATCAAAAACACATTAGTGGTGAGAACTGCGGATCTGGATTTGAATTACCCATCCTGATAATAACATCAGAGCACAGGACGCTCTCTCCATGAAGAGTTATCTGATCAAAATGGAACCTGAGTAAAGCTTGGTTTAACCGCATCATCAAATACTCCCCTTTTTAAAAAAAAAAAACAAAACAAAAATAAAACAACAACACTCTTTTTAATAGATGCATCTTGCGAAACATTTTTGTCTCTCCTAATATTATAAAGTGATTCTAGCGAATAGATGTTTTTTTTCCAGTTCTCTATTGAAAGTTATTTGACGCTCTCTCCATGAAGAGTTATCTGATGAAAATGGAACCTGAGTAAAGCTTGGTTTAACCGCATCATCAAATACTCCCCTTTTTAAAAAAAAACAAAAAAACAAAAACAAAACAACAACACTCTTTTTAATAGATGCATCTTGCGAAACATTTTTGTCTCTCCTAATATTATAAAGTGATTCTAGCGAATAGATGTTTTTTTTCCAGTTCTCTATTGAAAGTTATTTGGATATACACTACAGTACAAAGGTTTGGGCTCGGTAGCTTTTAAATAATTATTTAAATTTTTTTTAAATATGTTTTCATATGTTGTAAAATGCAATTTACTCCTGTGATAGCAACAGTAAATTTTCAGAAGCCATTACTACAGTCTTCAGTGTCTCATGATCTTCCAGAAATCAGGATCATATGCTGATTTGGTGCTCAAGAAATTCTATAATTATCATCAGTTAACTGTAAACAGTTGTGCTGCTTAATATTTTTGTGGAAACCATGATACATATTTTTCATGATTCTTTGATAAATAGAAAATTATTTAAAATGGAAGTCTTTTAAAAATTATAAATGTAAATTTAATTTAATGTAAGTTATAAATATATATTTAAATGTCTTTACTGCCACAAATGAACAATTTATTGTATCCTTGATAAATACAACTATTCATTTCTTGGTAACAGTTTATTTTAAGGGCCAATTCTCACTATTAACTATAGCTGCTTATTAGCATGCATATTACTAGCATACTGGCTGTTTATTAGTATTCATAAAGCACATATAATGTTTTATTCTGCATGGCCATATTTTAGATCCCTAAATCATATCCCATACCTAAACTTAACATCTACCTTACTAACTATTAATAAGCAGCAAATTAGGGGTTTATTGAGGGAAAACTCTTAATTAATAATGAATATGTGTTCCCTATTCTAAAGTGTTACCAATTTCTTTAAACTTTTTTTTACTGAACCCAAACTTGTGAACATTGCTTCTTATGTGCTTGTCGAACACTTAATTTCAAAACCACAGGCATTAGAGTCTACTCTGATATAATATAATATAATATAATATAATATAATATAATATAATATAAGGCCTACTAATAGTGGCATTTTTATGTGGAAAATCACAGAGGGATCTATCAGTGAGAGGCACAAACAATAAAGCTGATGGTTTGGATTACATTATGAGCTCAATCTTCTATACCCGAAAAACAGAGCAAACATCCCACCTAAAATGGCATTTACACGGCTCAGGGATCCTTATCACCACGGGGATCAATATCTTATTGAATGTGCTCTTACACAAAACGCTGTGAGATTTCATCTGGCTCGCACCACCTGAGGCACATATGCATCCTGCTGGAAAAAGAAGTTTGCTAATGCATCTGAAGCATTGACAAATTGACAAAATACTTTTTGTTCCCTGGGAAAGGAACCCATGCCCTTGGCATTGCTAGCACCATGTTTTACCAGTTACAGTGCCAGTGACAGTAACCCATCAGTAAATATGACAAAATACAGTTTTCTATATTTCAGAAGGTCGAGGTCACATGTTGAACCCTTTCTTTCTCCCTTGTGTCTTGGCCACCCCTCACCTCTGCCTGTCTCGAACGTGACATAGTCGCTGCTGATGGAGTTGTGCTCATGGGAATACACCCGCAACCGATACTTGGCCCCGGCCACCAGCCCAGCCAGCTTAATGGGAGGCTGGTGGTTTACTTGTATGCTTTTCATCGACCCATTACCTTCAGGAGGAGACACAAGAGAGGTGCCCATCAAACTGAGCCCAAACTAAACTGACCAAAACGAAGATAGCAGGTCATGTTTGTTAATTGAGGAAACGTGCTGCATCCTTATCCACTCTATTTTCAAGATTCTTCTCTGTTCGGTGGGATATTTCTTAAGTGAGATTGTATATAAAAAGCAGGCTGGTAGCGAAAATACTGGAATGCCTTCACTCAGCACACATCAAAGTCTGGCATTGGTGTATTAGGGGCATCATTTGCTTCAGTGACGCCTCTTAAAAGCTTTGATGTGAAGTTGCCGCTTAATATCTCACACTGGATTTGCTATAATGAACTCCGGTCTAGAGTGGAGGGAGGTGCACCTTGTCTCAATTACCCATAGACCGCATCTCATCTCTGAGGAAGCCAAGAAGTGGAGAGAAAAATCCCAATGGCTTTGTCAAAAGGTGGGCATGATGACTCAGTGAGGTTCCATGATGTTCATAAGAAACCTAAATGAAATCATCATGCACTGTGTAACTCATGGGTTGGCATGAGTTTGATGCCAGAAGAGCCTTTGAATCAAGCAGCCATTGGATAATATAATATGCATATCAAAATTCAATTACAGCACCTTAAAGTGCTACAAGATCTACAAGCTGAAGCTACGAGCTGGAAAGTAATAAAAAATAATAATTCATTACATTTATATAGCGCTTTTCTAGGCACTCAAAGCGCTTTACATTGTCAGGGGTTATCTCCTCATCCACCACCAGTGTGCAGCATCCACCTGGATGATGCGACGGCAGCCATAGTGCGCCAGAACGCCCACCACACACCAGCTTATTGGTGGAGAGGAGATAGTGTGATGAAGCCAATTAGCAGATATGGGGATTGTTAGGAGGCCATGATGATCAGAGGCCAATGGGCAAATTTGGCCAGGATGCCGAGGTCACTTTTCACTCTTTTCGAAAGACATCCTGGGATTTTTAATGACCACAGAGAGTCAGGACCTCGGTTTAACGTCTCATCCGAAGGACGGTGCTTGTTGACAGTATAGTGTCCCCGTCACTATACTGGGGCGTTAGGACCCACACAGACCACAGGGTGAGCACCCCCTGCTGGCCTCACTAACACAAAAGTAAGTACTTATCCCTTTTAGACAATTCCCATTAATGCTTTCAAAAAAACATGTTCTGAGTATTACACTTCTGGAATAATTTACTCACCCTCCTGTTGTTCCAAACCTGCATATATGTCAGCAATGGGGACCATCAATTATTTGATTACCAGCATTCTTCAAAATGTCTTCTTTTTTGTTCAACATAAGAAAGAAACTCATACAGGTTCGGAACGACATAAGGGTGAGTAAATGGTGACAAAATTTTCATTTCTGGGTGAACTACTGCTTTAATTCCTTACTAAAGTCAAGTTATTCCTTACCTCTGCATCAGAAGCAATGTGCATTTTAATGTTTAATCCCATATTACATGCACAAAATGGGCTGATAGCTTTTTAAACGTCACAATGTCCTGCTTTAAGATCAACAAAACATCTCATATGGGCTGTGGAGCTTCTACATATAGTAAGACATTGTCACACAGCATGCCTCACACAGAATGCATGCAGCTGCCACAATCTTGACAGGACATGGTGACAGGATGAGGAAGAGGGAAAAGGGAAAGGGAGTGTTACATAATGAAATAGTGAGTCTACATGGGAAGTACTTTTGGAGAATGTGTGCGTATTGGTCCTGATGTAATTTGATCCTATAATAATGCAGTACTCCTTAGTGAAAAACAAATGAGTCCACATTGATGCACCTCTTGGATGAAACCCAGACCCCTACAGCTACAGTACATTTTCACCGGCTTGGTGGGATATTGCATCAGGATGTACTGTACAACATGTTTCAAGGTTAAATATGTTACTCTGACTCTCCCCTTTGGTGAGTCCTTTGGTAAGAAACATTCACCTCATCATTATCTTTCTCTGAAACGTTTCCACCAAAGGAAAAAACAAAACAAAAAACAAAGCCCAAGGGGCATCAATCAGATGTGGCAGGCTTGCTGGCATAATCTAATCACGGAATGGGACAATGGTAGCCAATATAAACAATAAGCCAAGCAGCTGTGGGCAGCCAGACAATGAGCGCTGCTGGGAAGCCAATGGCTGAGGTAAGGGTGGAGTTAGCAATCACATCTGATGAGCCAGACAGATAGCTCAAGGGCGAAGGAGCAAGCGAGAGAGAGCAAGAAAGCAAGTGAGAGAGAGAGACTTTGGTAGAGAAATATACACTGGTCAAAGTTACGTATTGCATGTATCTTTTTCATGCTGTGACCGTCTTAAACATGCACAGGCACAACAGAACACTGACGGAGGATGAAGAATAGTTTTTGATTTACATTCAGCTGTGTAATCAAAAAGAATTAAGGGCACTGGAAAAATAAATAAATAAATAAAATCAGTATTTTATCTTGGTTTACAGTAAAAAAACAAAACAAAAAAAACCTAACAAGATAAATTCTCCAAGAAATCAATATTATTATATTATATTATATGAGCTTAATAATATAATGTGCTGTTTTGTTTTAAGCATAAATCTAACAATATATAGTAAGTTTCAAGCTTAAAACAAGAATGTTTTTTAAAAAATTAAAAAAAATTTTTATATTTAATTAATCTCTAACATAATATTTAAAATATATATAATATATTGTATATGCATTATATATATATTTAAAAAGCTAAACAAATTATATATAATTTTTGCAGCAAGTTTTCTGAGAACAACTCTTATATATAAATGTACACCTAAAAATATTTATATCTTTTTACTAGTTAAAAATATAGACAAAACTGTTGCAGTACTTTATATAATAAGAGTGGACTGCTGGGTGCCTCAAAGTCACTGCTTTACGGACCAAAATTCTCTGTGGCCCAATTAGAGCAGGTCATCTCTTTTTTTTCAGTCTCAAGGCGTCTCTCCCCCTCATAGATTTAGTCAAATCTCTCCCTGTTCTTAGCCACCAGTGAGAACTAGAGCTTTCTAAAGGGGACATGCATGACTGCTGATGACACAAAGCACAACGCAGTATTGCAGCTAGATATGATATTATTGAGTAACATGCTGGAGCAATGCCTCAGTTTGGTGTTAAAACTCAAGTTAACAAGCTAAACAAATACTTTGGACAAAAACATTACAGAGAATCACAACAGGGAGATATCATAAATGCTGGACAATTCAAACAACATTTACAATACCCCCCTTTCAAATAAACATGAGCTCCCTGTAATATTTATGGTGATGTTCTGTAAATTTGCCATATAAATGAGGCCCAATTAAACATTACGAGAGGAAGATTTGGGTCTCCAGCAGGCCCAGTAAAATCTAGCATTCCCTTTATAAGCTCTCAATAGGTGCATCTGGCTCTTACTGTCCAGTGTGAACTCTAGCACAAACTCGCTGCTGTCAACGGAGAAGTTGTGCTTCCAGCTGACGTTAGCATAGTCATTGTTAGCATCCACGGTCAGATTCCAGATCTTTACATTCAGGGCTATGCAGAACAGGTGGGAGAGGAGTACACTTAAATATTTTCTGATACAAACACTGGCACATATGCTTAAACTTAAAGACCCCATGAAACCTAAATTTGACTTTTGTTTCTTTTAGATAATATAGATTTCTTAGCTTTGAGGTCATCTATATGCTAGTTGACAAATTAATATATGATCCTCTGGGGAAAATGGACCAAAAATATATCATCCTGAGCTTCGGGGCACATTTAAAAATTTGTAGAATAAAATGCTCTCTAGAATGAAAATATTCCCTTAATAGTCACATTAACGAAACTTCCTGTCCATTATCATTAATGTAGTGATGCATAAAGCACCACTTCAGTATAGCTCAATATACCTCAAGCAAAATCGAAGAATGAACTGGTGTGATGTCTATTCAAACTAAATCTGGTCAAAATTAAGTTTGTTTGGAATTTGTTTCGGTAGTTCAAAACAACTCAAAAAGTTCACCAAAGTGAACTTTCTGGAAAAGTTCGCACCAACTGGTAAATACTTTTATAAATACTGTTACATTATTGAGATTATTGCACGCAGCATATATTTGAATATTCATCTAAACACCACTTTCAACAGCATGGGTAGTGTCGATGTATGAAAACAGAATATTGTTGCGTTTTAGAAAGAGTATATTGGGGCCTTTTTACCATCTGCTAGCAATAGTAAGTGGTACATTATAGTTTCATAGTTCATAGCAGGTTTTAGTTTTGGCTTATTAGCTATTAAACACATAGCTATGTCCCACCTGTAAATACTGTCACTTTAAATACGTCAACACAAGAAAGAAAACTTTCATGGCGTCTTTAAAACTAGAAAATGTTAGCAATCTTACTGATTTCGTTTCTAACTTGTTCTTCTAAATATCTCATAGTTTACAGAGCATGCATTTAATTTTCTAATGCAACAATGCAACTATTTGTAAAGCAAATGTCAATACTAATTCTGTATAATCTGAGTGTTGTGTGTCCGTGAGAGAACAGGGAGAACATCAATCATGCCCTGTCCTAAATGGTCCACTAACCGAGTCAGTCATACATAATAAATGTCATCTAAACAAGAGGACACACTGATTTGATTGAATCAATCTATACTGTGGGCGTTTCCAATGCACACAGTCATTATCAGATACCCAGCATTTTCCAATCCACTGTTTTAGGAGACATGGGCCGAACAGGAAGAACCGTGGTGGAAGCTGTTGTAGTAGTGGTGGTAATAGTTGTAGTAGTTGTGGTAGTTGTAGTAGTAGTGGTAGTAGTAGGTTTGGGCGGAGCAGCAGTTGTAGGGGCTGGTGTGGCTGGTTCTGGGGTAAGTATTGTTGGGATTGGGTCAGTGGAGAGGGGAGGGGGAGGAGGAGGAGTTTCGAACATCAAGGCATCCGTAAAGTTAACGGCTGAGAGGAAGAGCACAGAGAAGTTTAGGTGGAGGTTCCAGGGTTAAGCACAAGAGAGACAAAGAGAAGCGAGAAAACACAGAAAAAGAATGAGTTAATTAAATAGAATTCCCACAGTTCTCTTTTTCCAAAACGTATTCAGTGAAAGAGAGTGGCTATGTTTCAAATGGAATACTGGCATACTGCATGTTATCTACTGTATTCTACCTGCTATTTATACTATTATTTTCTGTAACCTACACACTGTGAATTAACTATATGAAAATACATGTACACACACACACTACCAGTCAAAGGTTCAAAGGGTAAATTTGTTTTGTTAAGCAATTAATATTTATATTAAGCATGGATGCATAAAAATCATTAAAATTACAGTAACATTTATAATGTTAAGATTTATAATAAGCATTTAATAAGATTAATAACAAGATTTCTGCAATAATCTTGTGACACTGAAGACTGGAGTAAAATATATTAAATAGAAAACAGATATTTGAAATTTTACTGTACAGTATTTTGCTAAAATAAATGTAGCCTTTGCAAGCATAAGAGACTTTTCAAAAACATTTTAAAAATCGTACCATCCCAAAACCTTTCACTGATAGTAGTATGTGCATGCATAAGAATTCAATTTCCTGGATCTAGTATGACCAGAGATTATGTCATGCCTTGAACAATATTTGCATCTTTAAGATGCCAATATTTTGTAATGCTTGCATTGTTTGTTTAGCTGGTATTACTTTCTCAAATATCTTTTGAAATATATATGAAACATTCATGCTCACAACTTTGTGATATTTGTGAGCATGAATGTCAGCACGTCATGCCATTGAGGAATACTGAAGAGGTTGCATAGAGGGTATCTAGAAATTTATTGTTGTGCACCACCAAGGGGGAAAACAGGGTCACTACAAACCACTGTGCTAAAAGCTCTGCAAAATGCTACAATATTCTCAGATCTTACTGGCATTTTGAAACAACCGAAAATAGAAAATCATATCTAATGGGTTTTAACAAACAAACTTTGCAGAGCTGTCAATACAAAAAGAGAAAATGTGTGGAAATCCATTAGAACACACAGTGGATAGAATCATTATCCAAGATAGAGATTCATAATGAAATATATAATTGTACATCTTTGCTTACTTTTACCTTGGAAACAACGCTGCTTTGAGTACCATTAATTGAGTCCATAACAAAAACTATATAAGCAGTTTCCAAACTCAACTAAAAAGTGAGAGCAATCCATAAATATGCTGGCAAAGGTTAAGTCAGACAGAGAGTGTCAGAGAGCCCCGGAGCGCTTGGTGACATCAAGTTTTGCCAGACCAAGACATGCTAATGGACGTGAGACTTTTGCACAGGGATGTGGTTTAAGATCAACACAGCCAATCAGCCGTAGCTTAGTGCACTCTTACCTGTATGTCTCCATCTGGCACAAAATGTAAAAAAAAGCCTTCGACATAAGAGAAATGAAGGTGGCACAAGCAGAAGCAGAGGCGTGCATTGCCAAAGCAACAGTTTGTGAATAATGGCGAGCTGATTCCCTCTTAAATAATTAAGCAGCACAACACTTACTATCTGCAGCTTTGCTTTATCTAATACTAACTTTCATGCTTGGCATTTGGCCTGCACATGCACAAGCTACACATAAACTTTGAAGGAGTTACTGGAGACACACTAGAAAACCGCTCATAATTACTTTACTAATACACTAACTTACTATTATGCCATTTTTGTCATGGATGGATTCACAGCCAAACATCATCACTCCATTACTACTGTTCCATAAGCAGCTCATCCATACATTAGCATGAAAAATTGAATTTCCTTTCAACACAGGCATTTTTTTGTTGTAAGCTTTGCACTGCATAATTTGCATGATTTTACATTTTGAGGTATTAATCATAATTTTGCATCATTTGCATCCACTTTGAAAGAAGTGACGGAAAAGTAGTAATTTACACATTTACACACAGACTGCTCCTCTCTGACTATTTGCAACTTCTAAATCTAAAACAGGTAATGTACAATACAATTTCAAAGGGCTTATGATAAAACTGCTATCCTCCAATATAAAATTATATTTATTCAGTATTCATGACAATTTGCCCTTTATTTCCACCAGAGAAAAAGAAGATTGCGATTTTAGTGCCATTAACACAATTTTCATCCAAAGCATTTAATTACTGTACAGTTTAACCATTAGTATCAACAACATAAATTGGCTTGCCATAGTGATTCGCTTCCATAACAGTATTCTCTTCACAAATGTCCATACAATATTTGTGTTTTTTTCTTCTATCATCTGAACATTAACTTCCCTTCCCCTAAAACAAGCAACTGTATCAAGCATTACCACTAGAGGTCTCCGTTTTCCAAACTCTAACAACAAAGTGGTTCAGTCTGGCTCCTGGCTAGATTTGAAACTAAAACGATGATAGGAGCATGCTAGGATATGCCAAGCAAGGCATGTGATAGGAAGTGATGTCAGGGCTAAAGTAGCAAGGTGCCATCAGGGATTAGGTATCAGTCAATAAATCACAAATGACATCAGAGCCACATATGACTTTATCTTATTTGTGTGCCGATTCAGGCACAATAGCATCTTACCAGCATCTTAAAGAGGTAAAACTCTAATCAGCTACACCGAGAGCAGATTCAGTGACTTCACAAAAGTGCAAGAGCCCATCCCTGAAAGCACACAGTGACATGGATGATAGCAGACCGACAAAGAGATGGATAGGGACAGGCATTTATTGACAGTGCAGCTGAGCAGTGTTTTTCATCAGGGAAAATATAAGAGTTAAAGGTGAAGTGTGCAATTTCTAAAGGGAACCAAACAAATTACCATGACTTTTGGTCAACTTATCTACTTCACCTTTAATTAAACACACAACAAAAACCGTTTAAATGCATACAGTATGTGGGTTTTTTTTTGTGTTTGGCTACAGTGTTGTAAAATGATTTTTTTAAAATTGTAAACAAAACAAATATTATTTGAGTACATTATACAAGAAGTACCGTTTCAGTCAGTGTACTTCAAAATTGTATGTTTCATTTAAAGTGTTTCTTGCCGATTCTGTGCAATTATTTGTGAAATTTACTTTAGAATTTTCTAAGTCAAAATTGTTTCTACACCAATTTTTATTTTTTTTTTCAGTGTAGGAATCTTGAGTGTGACTTTGACTTTAAGTACTCAGCTGCAGTTACGTATTTAAAAAGCAGACAGACAGAATTTGAGAGAAAGACAGACAGAGGCTGAAGCAGAGACAGAGCAAGGCAGGAGTTAGACAGGCAGGCAGTCTGGCAGGCAGTCCATTCCCCCATTACCTACAACTGTAGAGTCAGTATCTGGGGTGCCTTCAGTCAACACCACAGGAAAGACAGGAGGAGAAGAGGGGAGACAGGTGAGAGCAAGTAAAAGAAGACAAAGAAGAAATCAAGCAGTTACGAGAGAAACAGACACCACAAAGCATCGAGAAACAACAGTGTGAAGGAGACAGAAAAGTATTATTAGAAAGAAAGAGAACGACAGGGTGGCGCACAGACAGGAACATCCAATGATTCTGCTCTCAGATTCACTAACAGCTTACAGAACACAGAGTGAGACGACTCGCTTGCTGACCTTCATTAGTGAAATGTGGTGACTCCAGGGCGTACACTTCTCCTGCTCCGACCTGTGTGCGAGCTGCAAGGTAGAACTTGAACCGGGTGAAGCGGTTAGGCAGATTCATGATGTACTCTGTCACGTTGGCTGGAAAACTCTGGACCTTCCTCTCTCCCGCCTGTGTCCCGTTCACTGGAATCGCACAAGCAGAACAGAATGAATAAGTGTGCTAGATTTTTACACTTCATGAAGAACATTTCAGCATTGCTTGCATTGTGCAAAATTCAAGTGCTTATGGTGCATTCAAGTCATGTTGGAAAGATTGCATTTGTAGGTTGATTGCACATGAACGCCACCACAAAGTCATAATTATGAGTGGGAAACTTGATTTTTGTTGCTTTCAAGTGCATCTGGTAAACTCGTAACTCCAAGTCGGGCATATGTTATTACAAAGTGTCTAGCATTTAAAATGGAAACATAACACTTTCTATCACTATTTATACATTGCATTTTTATATAAAATAAAACAATAAAGTTGAGTGATTAACTTTGCAGCATTCACTGCAGACTTGCTTCCCTCGCGACAGTATATAGAGATACATACATAGATACATAACATAATATAATCTATATTATAGATCCATGCTTCTGCCATGTTTCAAATAAGCATAAACAACATGTGCATGATCTAGAATTATGAGTTTTCCACTCGTAAATACAACTTTTCTCAGTCATTTATGTGCTTGGAAAATGTAATTACGATATTTGTGGAAAAGTTGTGGCCGTTTCAGTCAGAAAACTTGGATGCAGCGTCTGTATTGATGGTAAATATGTCAAAATTTATGAAATTATAATTTTTTTCATTTACAATAAAACTAGCTAAGTTGCAGGTATAACAAAATGATAGCATTGTATCTTTATAAACTGAATAAAAACAAAGCAAAAACACCTGATGCACATTCCTTATTCATTTTGAAAAAGCAGAGTTAAAAATCTTGCTGTATTTTTTTGTAGGAAAGGTATACTTGCATCTTGCTCTGACCAAAATTATTTAAATGAACCTGACATTGTAATTATGACTTCCCAACTTGTAAATACGAACTTCACATGAGGACTTGAAGTTTCTGTATGTTTACACACTCATTTTGGAGGTTTCTCTTTGTGAACGGTAGGCTCACCTGTGTGGTATTGAAGTGTGTATCCTATCAGGACACCGTTCGGCTCCAGGGGCTTGTCCCACTTCAGGTGAACCACATCTGTGTGCCTCTGAATCCTAAAGTACTTTGGAGCCCCTGGCTCTATGAAAGGATTATGAAAGCTGTTCATATTCTGATTTTGGATACAAACGTTCCAGGACCGGAGTTCACCACCGCTGCTCTATACTCTAAACTTACGTGTAACAGGACTGTTGTTTTCATTCCCAGGCACCCAGGTGAGTCTAACACTACGTGCTGAAGGGTCCGAGAGCTCAAGATCCTGAGGGGGGTCGGGTCGACCTGCAAAAGAACAATATACTAATCAACCATGTTAACTTATACAATTATTCTCAGAATGCTAGAGTAAGAATTAAAAACAGAGATTGATTGTTAGAGGCTTTAATTGGACATTAGAAATAACTGTACTAGATGCGTTACCTGCAAAGGCACTACGATTTGAAGCAGATGAGATGTCATCCTCTATGAGGTAAAGGTCAAAGGTCAGAGGTCAAGGGTTAGTGTGGCTATTAGTAGATAAATATCAGAAAAAAGCAGTATAGCTAAAAAAGGAAGCACAACAGTAGTAATATTCAAGCAAACTATGAAGCTGTGGGAAGTGCTGTTAAGAGCACAGATCTATAAGTTATAAAAGGGAAAAAGCCAATTTATAAAACGGATAGTTCCAGTCCTTGATTCTGATTGGTTGAGCCATGTTCGAAGCTGTTGTAAATTACTCTACAAACATACAACTCTTTGTTTCTGCGTCTGTGAGTTGCTTGACAACCACTTTGTTGCAACCACAACTATTTTTGAGGAACTACATTGTTTGGCGGAAGAATGTTTTTATTAATATCATTACATTTTATTAGCTTTTTTATTCTGTGAAACCTTGCTATGTATATGGAACAACCGTTTTATAAAAGCAATAAGCCCCATGAAGCCATGGTTTATAGTGAATTTAGAATAGCTAACTCCGCGTCATGCCTAACAATGCCCCTTAGCTGTAATACATTCACTGTAAACCACGGCTTCTTGGGGCCTATTGCTTTATTATTATCCTCTGGATATGACATGTGACTGTCCTACATGTCCATATCCACTTAATATCTATTATGAAATATGTTACTAGCCATTAGCAACATGAGAAAGGTGCATAAAGGAGGACGATGTATTGTAGGATGAATGTGAATGTGTGTGTACCTGTAACTGTAAGGCGAGCTGAGGCAGAGTTCTCATCTATCTCAGTTTTGGCAGTGCACGTGTAGGTTCCTGCATCTTCTGGATTGACATTGTAAATAGTTAAGGTCTCATCATCCTTTCTGAACCGGCCACTAAAACATACAGGAATTAGACGTCAAGTACAGGACATACACTACCATTCAAAAGACTTTTTTTGAAAGAAATGTAAACTTTTATTTAGCAAGGGTGCATTCAATTAAACCACAGTGACAGTAAGGACTTTTTGATTGTTAAAACATTATTACAAATAAATGCTGTTCTTTTGAACTTTCTATTCATCAAAGAATTCTGAAAAAAATCTTACAGTTTCTACAAAATATTAGGCATCAGATCTGTTTTCATGTTGATGATAAATGTTTATTAAGCACCAGATCAGTATATTAAAATGATTTCTGGAGGATCATGTGACACTGAAGACTGGAGTAATGATGCTGAAAATTCAGCTTGGCCATCAAAGGAATGAATTACATTTTAAAATAGAGAATTCTTTGAAACTGTATTCATATTTCAAAATATTACTGTTTTACTGTAAGACACTTATTTAAAAAAAAATCAGTAGCGCACAGATTTGAACTTATTCAGAAGTTGAACTCCGAAGAAGTAATGCTGAAAGTAAATTTGGTATATAACAGTAAAAAATAGCACACAATCTAATTATGAATATATTGTGTATGTATTGTTATATGACATTACATCCAGTTAAAGCTTAGAGGCTTGTCATCTTTTAGCCATGTGACCGTAGCAGGAAGGGAAGGATCATGTTTAACTCGACAATCAAAGCGAACCGTGGTTCCTTTGGCCTGTGTGACATGTTCAGGTGCCCGCACTATTCTTGTGGGCTCTGAAATGCAGCACAACACACACACACACACACACACACACACACACACACAGAGTAAATGAAGGCATTCATGAACAATAATGTAATGTGTTCTCTTCAAAAAAAAAAAAAAAAACCAAGAGAGATTTAGTGATTAATGCTTCTGGTCTCACCTTTAACCTCCAGGCGCACCTGATTCTCCATCTTGCCCAGAATGTTACTGGCAACACAAGTGTAGGTGCCTTGGTCTTCTGGCCGGGCTTGTTTAATCTCCAAAGTACCGTTGTGGTACAACTTGTACTGACCACCATCCAGACCACTGCCTAGGCCATTCTTGAACCTGAACACACATGTACAATATATTCATGTCATTTTTATTCTAATACACAAACGTTTGTGGTCAGTAAGCTTTTTTTTTTTTTTTTTAAGAAATACATGCATTAAATTAATCAAAAGTGACAGTGAAGACAATGAAAAATGTCACAGTTTCCGTAAAAATATAAAGCAGCAAATCTGTTTTCAACATTGATAATAATAAAAAATGTTTCTTGATCAGCAACTTTAGCATATTAGAATGATTTCTGAAGAATCATGTGACACTGAAGACTGCAGTAATGATGCTGAAAATTCATCTTTGTCTTCACAGCAATAAAATACATTTTAAAATATGTATGGAAAACTGTAATAATTTTTCATAATATTACTAGGTATTGTTTTATTATATAAATGCAGCCTTGGTGAGCATGAGACTTCTTTGAAAACATTTAAAAAATCTTACAGACCCCAAATTTTTTAACATTAGCCTAGTTTATCTTTTCAAACAATGAAATGTAAGCTCACCAGCGCAGTAAAGGGAACGGTGAGCCAAAGAAAGGGCAGTCAAGGAAGGTCCTGTTGTTTTCAATGACTTTGATCAGCTGGTTCTTTGGACCTAGCATCCGTGGTGCCATGTCTAAGAAGAAAACAACATTAACATATCACAATCTTGTGACCTCTCTGAACTTTTTAAATGATTGACTCCATCGTTTCTTACCCAGGATGTTGACAAACGCATTGGCCAATAGATAACCATGTTCATTTGAGGCGTTACATTGGTGAACTGCGCTGCTGCCTATCTGGACTGAATGGAACAGGATTGTGTCACCAAGAACTTGCCGGTTTGGGTTTGGCAGTGAACCTGAAGTAATACAAAGAGCAGAAAAAACAGATGCAAAAATGTGTTATGATTCAGACTGTTAAAGTCAGAAAAGCACCAGTTCTTGCTTTCAGTACTCACTTTCAATAGGTTCCCCATTCACCAGCCATTGGATAGTGGGTTTAGGGTTCCCTCTGGCACGACACACTAATCGTCCATTCTCATCAGGGGCAAGCACCAGATTGGTGGGCTTATCTAGCCAATAGGGAGCAGCTGTACAGGGCAATAAAGAAATCTTAAAATGAAAAAGAAACAGCATATATCTCATGAACAAGATCCAGCAACTGTCTTTTCTCTATGGCTCACCTTTGACCTGGACTTCAATGGAATGGCGAATGCTGCCTATTTTGTTGCTGGCCATGCAGACGTAGTCACCAGAGTCCTCCTCAGACACATTGAGGAGGCGTAAAGTTTTACCGAAGTTCTCAATCTTGACTTTTTTCGATGGGAGGTCTGCTCCTTTTTTAATCCAATCAATGTTAGGAGATGGGCTGGAAAAATGAAAAAGAACATCAAAAAAGAACAGAACAACACTTAATTGTAATTGAGAAATCTAATAACTAATACTTAAAACTGATGTATATAGAGCTTTTGGTAACTGAATATGCTGTATACCCCAGTGTTGTTATTGTTAAAGACCCCCTGTGGTGAAAATTAGGTTTACCATGTGCAAATTCATCAATTAACACCAATCCTGAGCATTTTCTCCTTAAAACTGTGCTGTACTAAAAGACAAACGTGGTTTGAAACTGCCCAATTTCCTACCATCATAAACATTTAACCAATCCTGTCAACATGCCGGGCGATGCTTTTCATATTATTATTATATTATTACTATCAGTTAACTGAGTGAAAGTGGAGCAGGTCTGAGCTTGTGCGATTGAGTGGAGGACTAGTTAGCATATTCATGAGTCTGTGTATACTAAAGGAAGTAAGGGTGTAAAGTTACATTCAAGCCATTACATGAAATTATTTTCATGGGGACAAACATTTAAATATGTCATTTTGATTATCAAAGATGAGTTTTAAGGGATTAAATTAGTGACTGCAGGGGGATTTTAACTAAAACTATTAAAAATAGATTTCGGTAATTGAAATAAATTTGAAGCACTAAAATTACTAAAACTGAATACAAAAAATAAAAATAAAGCTAAATATAAATATATAAAAAAATGAATTAAATGACAAAAGCACAAATGTAAAATACTAAAATGTATAACTAAGTTAAAATGAAAACTGAAAATATAAAAATTAAAAGCTAATTCTATACTAATAATTGCTATAGCATTATATAAATAACACTTACACTCCAGCTGCTATACACTCCAGAAGAAGCTGTTCCCCTCGAAGCACTATCTTGGAGCTGGACAAGCCCTTTGGAGACAGAAAGGTGGGCTGGGTTTCTGGTACATTACGTGCTATGGACAAAAAAAAGAGAAAATTGTTAACATGCACAGAAAGAGACACTGATTTGAGGAGCTACTTAAAACTGCACTGTTATGGATCATTGTTATATCCAACTTGCAAATTCTATATATATATATATATATATATATATACACACACACAGTATATTTACACACACAATATACATACATTCGCAAATGTGAGAGACAAAGTCAGAATTAGCTTATTTTATCTCTAAAGGTAATACTTCATTTGTAATATCTCTATTTATTTTAACAAAAAAAAAAGTCACATTAGGAGTGGTAAGACTTTAAAAACACTGGTTACATGTTATATATAACCAGTTTAGAAATATTATTAGAATTTCAAATATCAGTTTCTACTTTTACATAATAAAAATGTTATTTATTCCAGTGATGTCAAAGATTAATTTACTCCAGTCTTCAGTGCCACATGATTCTTCCGAAATCATTCTAAATACTGATTTGGTGCTCAAGAAACATTCCTTATTATTATCAATGTTAAAAATTGATCAAGATTAATTTGTTTTTTTTTTCAGGATTCTTGATGAATACAAAATTCAGAAGAATAGCATTTATTTGAAATAGAAATACTTTGTAACACCAAGCCCTAACTTAATAAATGTCTTTATTCTCTCATTTGATGCACCCTTAATGAATAAAAGCATTAGTTCTTTAAAAAATATTAGTGACCTCAAACTTTTTGAATGGTTATTTCTGTAAAATTTATATGCTATGTTTATGTTATTTATGTAAAATAAATCTTTGCATAGATACATAAATACATAAATAACATAAGCATGAAAGAAGAATCATAACTGTAATGACAGACAGATGGTTAGACATAAAATCCTGGTTATGTGAAGACACAGACAATCTTCTCCCTGAGGAAGACTTGATGAGCATGGCAGTATTAGTCCCTATTGTAATGTATATCTAGCAGTAAGATTAGCTCTCAGTTATTAGCATCTCGAGCAGGGCTCTAGGAGAGGGAGTGACAACAGCCTTTGTTGGAGACATTAAGTGGGAGGACAACATCTGGGAGATTAGACTATGAAGCTGCCAGGAACACATGTTTCACGCCACTGTCACGTGTGTCTGTGGTGACAGCAGTGCCAGTTCCCTGTCAGTGCTACCCCACAATGCCCTGGTGGAGACTATACGAACGATTCAAGAGACAAGATAACTTAAAAAAAAAAAAGCTTATGTCTGTCAGTGAACCCTGATCCCGACAATATTGTCATATGGATATTTGGGTGAATCTCAAAAAGCCATCAAGAACATGCCTGGGTCATATTAAACCCCAAAATCACTCTGCCTGTCTAAATAAATAAATAAATAATAAATAAATTAAATAGATAGATAGATAGATAGATAGATAGATAGATAGAATTTAAATAATAAAGATGTTCAATATTTAAACAGTGAAGTAATTATACATCATGGTAAGCAAGTAAACATTTCTGAAACAAATATTTGAGGGATTTATGTAAAATATGTATTTTTTTTAACCATTTGATTTCTTGTTAAATATATATATATGTTTGTCACAAGATTTGAATTTTACCTATTTTCTTCATATACTCAGTTCCACCCTTAGGCCATATCCGTGAGGATTTGCACATGTTATCATTGGATTAAAGTTGCTGAAATATTAATGAGCACCTCTTGCCTCTTGCCTAATCTCCTTACTACCATTGCCATATCTCCATAATGAGCAATGTGATTAGGATAATTAAAGCAATTACAATCAAAATTTGAATACTGTTTCTTCAAACCATGATAGAATCTTGCTGACCCCAAAACTGCTTAGACTGATGTATTAAAAATCATTGTAAGTAACCTAAGCATTAAGTGGTAAGTTCTACAGTCTATAAATACTATGTGGAGCATCTTTCTATACAATGTATATTATATAACAGACACACTATCTCTGCATTTCCTCTGCTGTATGTGGTTAGAAACAGCAGCGCTAATTCAGTTAGTGCTGTTTTACAGAAGCATACAGATAAAAGGCTAGCTGTGTGTGGAACTCACCACCATACAGATCAGTGGAGTTGAGAAACGTGTCATTATAAGGTTCCTCTGTGAATAAACGGCAGTTGAATTAACATACGAATACAGAAAAAAAATCTAATACACTCAATTACAACTGGGAAGAAGAGAACAATTTTGGATGAAAATGGAAGACGGACAGTCCTTCAAGTCTCTTATTGAAACTGTGATAGTAATCAATGAAGAGCCTCCAAATTAAAGTGCAAAAAGACAACTATCACAGATAAATGTCCCCGGCAATACCACCTTCTCACCACTAGATGGACCACAATATTCACATATACCTTGGACAGCAGCACAGCAACGTATCAGTTACATCAAATTAAAGATAACAAGTGATCCTGAAGAAATCACCACTCACTTGTTAGCACTTTAAGGGTGAAGGGGTTCTTCTGTTGAATGGTGTGTGTGAACTCGAAGCGAGCGTTGCAGCTGTAGTCAGTGTTGGCATCTCTAGCCAGAACATTGGAGAAGAACAAGTCACCGTTCAAGCCCATTGACACCCTCTTGTCCTGTATTATGGGCATAATGGCTGTGGAGACAAAAGAGAATCCTGACTAATTTGTTCAACTTAATTTGACATGCAATAGCTGACAGGCAGCAGAAGAAATGATGCTCAAGATGAGTGTGGGAATCACAGAAGCATGATTATAATCTTCTGGCCTGAAACATCACAAGGATCAGTAAATTTGTCACTCAAGTGAAGGAGCAGTGTGGAAGAGTGTGAGATGAAAACGAGATGTACTGCACTAATCAACATTGAGTCTGGATTTAATAATGATGTCTCTGACTTTTTGGACTAAAGTGTTGTGATCACATGACATTCTAGTAATGGATATGAATATCATGTGCAAAGATTATCATCTTCTGGCCTGAAACATCACAAGGATCAGTAAATGTGTCACTCAAGGGAAGGAGCAGTGAGGAAGAGTGTGAGATGAAGACGAGATGTTCTGCACTAATCAACAATGAGTCTGGATTTAATAATGAAATAATAGAGATTTTTAAATGTATCATATCAGTTGAAAATGTATATTTAGAGTACTTGTGCATGCTCATTTCCCCTATTTTAATTATATCTCTAATTATTAACATTTGAAAAAAGTACTAATGATTTCATTGCATTGTTAAATGTAAACTAGCAAATCCGAAGAATGAATATCCATTTTTACAATGTTGTAGCATGTTAAGCAATTAAGTTCTTAGTGTTTTATTTTTAATATATTTAGACAAATCAGTATAGAATTTTAATCATTTTAATCATCCTTTATAGGTTATTGGTCATAATATATGCCAAATAATTATCAACTTTAATACTGGTTCATTATTACAAAAACGTATTAAAAGTGAACTTACTAATTGGCTTAAAACAACTTATTAATTGGCCTATTAAAACATTTATCTTATGCAAACTACAGTATAAAATACAGCATAAGTTCATAGTGTAAACACTGTGATGCTATCAAAACATTTATTTGTTTGTTGCCAAACATTTATTAAAAGTGAACTTATTAACTGGCTTAGAAATTATTAATTGACTTTTTCTCTTAATACGGCTTATTATGTGAATATAACTACAGTATATAATTGTTTGTTGCCTAACATTTATGGAAGGCAAAATTCTTAAATAAAAAGTCACTAGTCATAACTATAAGTCCAAAATGTTGAAAATATACTAAAAAGTCAAAAATATGACATAAAAAGTCATAATCATTACATTTTATGTCTATTTTATGATTTACCAAACATGTTTTTTCATACAACAGTGTTCATTTCTGACCAATGAACATGGAAGGGAGTGTTCAAGAAATGTCTTCTTCATCGAAATGTGTACATACATACTATGAAAGTAGTGGGAATTCAAGCTTAAAGATCCATGTTTAAGCCCTCTCACTATCACTGACACATTTTAAAAGAGCCGTTTGTGACTGTACTGATGACAAACACAGTCGAGATGTTTGATCAGTGCTTTGTAGCGTGTGTCTATGCTGCGTGATTCCGGCTCTTTTGAAATGTCTCAGTGTCATGCTTGTTTCTGCTCTCTCAGCTTTTTGTCAGGTAGTGCAGATTCGCATGCATGCACTAGCTCAGCACTAATGCAGTAACGGACACTGCTGTGCAGAGGACACAGACTGCATGACTGAGAGAGAGACAGAAAGTAAGGGGACGTGAGAGGGAGAAGTAAAAGAGAGCATGTAGGTGATAACTAAATGACAAAGCAATGGAGAAGAGGGTTAAGGTTATGAGACGCAATTAATCGCAGGAAGTGATGAGCAACACTCACAGCTGTCCATCCAGAAGGTTTCAGGAGGGGGGAGACCAGGAGGAGGGTTGCAGGGCAGGACGAGTGATTCCCCCTCACGCACAACCACTGGCTCCAGAACCTCCTTCGGCCACAGTGGAGACTCTGAGCAATGGAGACAAGTTTACCAGATTAGGGAATATAACATAACAATTCAATCCATGAGAGATAATGTTGTTTTTATAATGCTTTCTGTATGCATTTTACTTTTAAAGGGATAGGTCACTCAAAAATGTCACTTTGATGTTGTTTCAAACCTGTATGACTTTCTTCCTTTTCTTTTTTGGAACCAAAACTATAATAAAGCTCCATAAATAATATATCATAAAGTAGTCCATATGACACTATATCACAAGTTTTCTAAAAGCATACTGAAATTTTGCATAAGGAACAAGCCTAAATTTCAGACTGAAGATTCAAATTATGTCATTTTTAATGTCAATTATATCAAATTACACTGTCATACATTTTGGTAACCAACTGCGTTGTGTAAAAATGATGAAACAGATGAAATATGTTGAGAGGTTGAGAGGAAGATTATTGGTCTGTAAGAATTGAAATATAGCGCAAGTTATATGGACAACAACTTATTTTGCGGACCATGGAAGAATGAAAGTCATATGGGTAGCATAACAACATGATGTTGAGTGAATGATGAAAGAATTTAAATTTTTGGTAAACTATTTCTTTACAGACAATTAGCATGTTGTGTGTATGTTGTGCTTTCTTTGCCATTACAGTAAACCAGCCCTCACTTGACACTCGTAGTAGGATTTTGTTGGAAATCGCCATGCCAAAGTCATTGGAGGCGAAGCACTGGTACTCTCCTTCATAATCTTCCGGTTTCCCACTGCTTCTGATCTCCAGTGTTCCGGAACGACTCCGCATGGTCACCCGCGGGTCCTTCCCCACGTTAAAGAACTTCCCATTCCTCCGCCACTGAAACCTGCACAAACCAGTTACAAATAGGACGAGAGTCAACTTGATGCTGTTTATGTAATAGGTCCATTGTTGGGGCTTTTTAATAAAGGGATTTACACACACATCAAACTGATAACAACAAAGACATGAATACCAAACCAATGATAGCATGAGATGGAAATTCAGCTATTTTCAAAATCAATGAAATCCATTTTCTAAATGAATGTTACTGATCTTATTTTGAACAATTCATCGGGATCAGCATGTTGACTTTTGATCTTCCGTTGAAATTACATACTTCTCTCTGGTGACGTATGGTGAACTTCTCCAATCATTTTGTCCTAATAAGCCCGTCCTTTCTCTTTAAAAAACCAAGTCCTCATCCTGATTTTTTTTTCTCAATAATCCGATTAATTTGGATGTATGTTCGAATTTAAAGAAAAAAATCTGTCGTTACTTCTTTCTTATTGCGACTAAAAACTTATAGGATTGCGTGCTTGGAGTTGAGTGCAATCTACTAACCTACTGAATATTCTGTGAGCGTGAACACTAAACTAAGCGTATTATTATACCACAATGGTTTTGCGGACCGGCCTGAGTGGAAGGTTTTGTAAAGCCCAACAGACCACCAAACAAAAATAGGTACTCTGAATGGCCACACTGTGTTGAGCTGGTCAAACCTGCTTTTCACAAACAAGAACAAGTGACATGAGAAGGGTACAAGAGGGAGGGAGGGTGGACAAAGCTGGCAGTGCCACTGTCAGGTTGGGGCATTGGGTGTCACTCTCACAAAAATGTGTTGGTCTTTGTCATGCCAAGACTAATGGACGTCAGGTTTAATTAGACAGCGACAGAAGAGGAAGAATGAGAGACAGAGAAGTGATGTGAAAGTGGACGTATACAGTAGGAGGTTGCTGACAAACTGGAAATGTAAAAGTGGTGAGAGATGACAAAAAGGACGAGCAGGACAAGATGGCACAACGACAAAAAGGTTTCATCCATTCTCACGTTGGCACTGGAGTCCCCTTGGCCTCGCATTCAATGATGATGTTATCTCTGGGGTCCACAATGTAGTCCTTTAGTGACTGCTTCACAATGGTGGGGGGCTGTTTGACTGTGGAGGGAGGGATAAAAGTGACAGTCTTATCTCACCAGCACTGAGAAGGAACACTGAACTCAATGCTATGTATACATATGCAAGCTCTGCATTTCTTGAAAAACGGTTATTCAATTCACTCTCATGGTAACATAAAAAATATAAACACAATAAGCACAGACAGACAAAGTTTTGATTGACAGACAAACATCAAATAAATTATTCTTTGTTAATTGCATATGTACATGATAAATTTAATTTGTTTCTTGTGAGTTTATTTACTAAATATATAGGCTAATCTGACTATGCTATCAGCTAGCAATAAGTTTGTTGTGTCCTTAGCATCATTCATTCCTTTGTTACTGTGTTTAAACCAATTTCCCTCCAAAATAAAAGCAAAAGTGTTAAGAATTGTGCACCTTCAGTCTGGGCCTGGCAAAAGGTATGAGAGATTGCAGGATGTACAGGTAGCTACAAACAACATTCAATGGACACAATATAGCTCTATATAGCTACTATTGCTTATATTTTAACAGGCAAGCTAAAACAGCAACCAGGACTATCCATTATATAATTATATAAATTTTGCGCAACAACAGTTAAACAGTGGAATTTCTGGTGAAAAACTACATTACCCACGATTCTGTAGAGAAATGTCCACCAATCAGAAAATTGTGACAAGCAAATCACAACAAAATAGTTTTAGTGCTCAACCACTCCCATGAAGCACTGCGAATGTCAGTTTCCCTAGATTCATATTTTGCCAAAAATATAAGATATATTGTTTCTGTATATAAAATGTCTCTCTCTTTTTAGGCTGCTGGGTCGCTGCAGAGCCACAGGTTTTACACTGGAAGCCTTTCTATACACATAATCAATAATATATATATATCATAGTGCTTCATGTAATTGTAGGTATTTCTCTAAACAAAGCAGTTGAATACAGTGTCTGGGAACTTTGTCTTTTTGGCTGATTTCCATTTTTTTTGTAGTGCTGTGCTTCACCTTGTAGTTGGTTGGTTTGGTTCATGGCTTTTTAGCCACAAGATTCCTGACTGCTCTACTCTACTTCTAGCTGGCTCAGAACTGTATTCTGGCACGGCTATCAAACCCCTGAAGAAATCCTTCCCTTCAAAGACATGGCCTGCCAAAAAGACATGCTCTTGGGCTTACATTAGAATATTAATCAGCTTTAATAAATGATAGACTTTATAATTTATCTAGAGTAGCACAGTGAACTTTTGTGAGCTCTCTTGAGGCTGCATTTGAGGGTCTTTTCAATGAATTTTCTGGCCTGTATAGGCTCTAATTGTAACATCAATGCAGTAATAACTCTGTTCTTTAGATTTCAGATGTGATAAGTTTTGTTGTAAGCTCTATTAAAACCAGCCGCTGATTTAATGAACAAGTTAATCCGTGTTAATGAAGCACTTACGCTCTTGCTGGATCTTTGCTGTTAGTTCCAAGAGGGGCGGATGAAGAGAAAAACAGTTCAATTGTGTGAGTAGTTAACAGAGAGTGAGGAAACATGGCTATGATGACAATAATTAAAACATTTACATTAATATATTAAAATTGCTACTAAACTACTCTTATAAGACAAGACAAAAATTATTTTAGTTAATGGCTGCTAAACTCTGAAGTATGATTGCTACAGTTATTATAGACACAACACTAAGTCTACTTTAACATATTAACACCAAAAATAGCAACCAAACAAATAAACTTACCTGTTAATGGGCCACCAGATGAATGAAGCAGAGAGAAAATTACAAAAAAAGGGGGAGATAAATTTTAAGACAGAAAAAAAAAAACATATCAAAAATACATCACTGTCACATTAGCAAATCATAATCGGTGCATTTATCTTCCCCATATGGCAGTATATTTAATCTTCGACTGTCTTTCTTTGTCAGTTTGTTAAAGTGACAGGCCTTGCGGGGGGTTTCTCACATTCGATAATAACCGCAATCAATGTGATGTATGTTCTCAGAAGAGTCAGAAATGGCTTTTGTGATTGTGCTTTGCTAATTAAAGGAATATGACCTTCATATTCAGGTTATAGTAGAAAGCACCCATGTGTCTGTTGTGCTTTTCATCGGATAGTGACAGGTGCATCTCTGGCTCTGTGCCATTCATCATCTGACATCAATTATAGCACATAAGCAAGGTCACACGGGGATGGGACGTCATGAGCAACATATGTGGTAGTGTGTGTGAGCGCATGTGTAAGGTCAGCTGGGAGCCGATGACAACCCTCGTCAATAGAAATCACATTTGGGGAGGGGGTGATATTGGGAGTGAAGGATCATTAGGGAGATAATGGAGAGATGCTAAGAGTCACATCTCTAGTTCAATTCATCTTTTAGATCAAGGGTCTTCTGCAGGGGGTCTGACGATTATTGTATGTACATTATGACATTTGTTCATATTAGCTTAAACCAAATCTAAAGTTAAGTTATTGTAAATGTTTAATTGTCCCACCTACATACAGAATATACTGTTCAAATATACCTATACACACACACACACACACACACACTGCCGTTCAAACGTTTGGGATCAGTAATATTTTTTATGTTTTTTAAAGACGTTTCTTCTCCTCATCAAGGATGCATTTATTTGATCAAAAAAAAAAAACTGTAATATTGTGAAATATTATTACAATTTAAAATAATGGTTTTCTATTTTAATATACTGTAAAATATAATTTATTTAATGTGATGCAAAGCTGAATTTTCATCATCCATTACTCCAGTCTTCAGTGTCACATAATCCTTCAGAAATCATTCTGATTTATTACCAAATTGCAGATTTATTATCAGTGTTGGAAACAGTTTTTGCTGCTTAATATTTTTTTGGAACATGTGATACTTTTTTCAGGAGTCTTCGATGAATAAAAAGTTAAAAAGAACAGCATTTATTAAAAATATTAATATTTTCTAACAATATAAGTCTTTACCATCACTTTTTATTAATTTAACATATCATTGCTGGGAAAAAAAAAAATTATTTCCAAAAAGAAAAAAAAAAAAGAAAAAAGACCCCCAAAATTTGAACGGTAGTGTATATTACAAAAGTTCTTTTTAAATAAATGCTGTTCTTTTTTTCTTTTTATTCATCAAAGAATCCTGAAAATAGTATCACATGTTCCAAAAAATATTAAGCAGCAAAAACGGTTTCCAATATTGATAATAAATCAACCTATTAAAATTATTTCTGAAGGATCATGTGACACTGAAGACTGGAGTAATGATGCTAAAAATTCAGCTTAAATTGCAATAATATTTCATAACATTACAGGTATTTTTCTGTATAATTCAGCTTTGACATCAAATCATTAAATCATATTAAAAAAAATTAAATATATTAAAACAACATACTAAATTGTACAAATATTTCACAATGTTACTGTTTTACTGCATTTTTGATCATAATAAATAAATAAATAAATGCAGGCTTTGTGACTTTCAAAAAGATTAAATACTTTTACTGACTCCAAACATTTGAACTGTAGTGTATATGTACTGTATTTTAAACAAAGTAAATACATCATTAATCTGTTATAATAAACTCAATTTTATACTATATGTATGTAACTGCTCTGTCTCTCTATCCAAACAGGGGTCCTTGGTCTTTAAAATGCTTTTGATGGTGCGTGTAATATGGAGTATAAGCGTACAAAAGAAGACACAACACAGTCGCTAATAGTGTGATCAGATGCTTGTCATTTCCCAGTAGCCCCTGCTGCTGAATACATTCAGAGAGGTCAAGAGGTCAGAGGGGTATTATGAAGTGCTCAGGGCCAGGATCAGTGCTCCAGTCTTCTCTATCTACACAGATCAATAGAGATTCACACAGACGGGGGGAGAGATGACACAAAAGACGGAATGCGAGAATAAGGGAAAATGAGAAAAAGAGAAAGGAAAAGCGAATGATGGCGTCTTGGGAATACAGGCGGAGAAGGGGAGCTGGGGAGGTGCTGACAGCCCCTGGTCAGGCTGAATCTCTCTATTGTTGAAGCTGGTGAGCACTGAGTGCCGCTGGGGTGTCTTGCTCTGTATGAGCTTTCAAATCATTTTTCATAAGAGCGTAAGCCAAACCTGGATGGCTATTATTAGAAGGAAACTGAAAAAAAAATGGAGTAAAACAAATACAGTAAGACAGCAGAAGGCGGAGTGGATTTATTGGTTTCTTTGTTTAAGATGCAGTTCAGATAGAATGGATTTTCCTCATTTATTACGCTGTATAAATAGTAAGACCATAATATAGAGCGCAGCTTATAGCAGGACAGTAGGAATCTGCAAAACTACATATTTTCAAATTTGCTTAGCTGACTAATCGGTCTAAAGTGGAATTATTGACTGTGTGATTATGAAACCACTGAGGTTATATTTTAATCAATTATTTTGGCACAGCACTGATGCCTGTTTATGAAAGCTTGTTTGAAAACTTCATACTCGCATGAAAATATATGTCAAAGTTGTATATTGATATCACGCCTATGATTTAATGCAAAAAGGCAGAACAATAACCCCATTACAGCCTCAAAGAGTGGTTTAAAAAAACCTCATCAAAAACACGCATTAGTGCAGAGTATATAATTTATGTTGCGAGTTGAAGTGGCACACTATGGAGGTCTGAATATGTGTGTGTGTCTGTGTGATGGGGGATGGGATTGTAATTCTCTGTCCCCTTGTATATACTATAAAAAGACATTTTCCTTTCAACACGAATGAAAAAAAAAAAATATATATATATATATATATTATATATATATATATATATATATATATACAGTATATACACACACATACATGCATATATAATTTTATTTGCAATATTTAAATGTCATTAATATAACATGACATTACAATTTATAATTTCAATGATAACTTACGGTCCAGTGGGACTTCGATTGGAGCCGCCACCTTTGACAGCAGCATGATTATTGACAACACTGCCAGTGCCGCCCACCGCTCCTGCGTCCACATCTCTCTCCTCCAATTGGCTGACCCCTCCCGTCCCAGGTCCCTACTGATTTACTTGCACACTTTTAGATGCGCTGTATGACCTGTGAAAAGAAAAATGCTTATTAAGGAACTTACTCAACATTCCTGTGACATTTAGGAGGCGGCACTGCCCTTCCAAAAAGCACTCCTCATAGAGTCCTATTCATCCACAATTTGCAGGGGGACTCTTTAATGCTAAAATACACAATTTTGAGCATGTATTAGTGCCTGCTATGTTCACGAATAATGCAGGCATGGGCTGTGCATGCGTGGAGGTTTTTTAGCTGGCCTACATTTGCAGTTGACACTAGCATTCCCTGGAGCCAATGGTCCTCGCTCTTACAGATGAATGCGGCATCAGCACATCACCACACAACACCATGCAAACCTCCAAACCAGGAAGAAAAGGACTCTTGCTGATCAATCTGCTCCCTTGACAGGGCACCAAACCCCAAAATGAAGGACAGGGCTGTTATACAAACCACTGAGGTCTGAAAGCAGACGTTAACTCCTCTGGTACATCTGTCAAATCCTGCTTTCATAAAACTGACAGTCTCTGACAGGAGGTTAGTGACAAACGCTTCCCTGCAGATACCATCTAGTTGGAATAGTTGATCTTAAGAGTCATTATGTAAATGAGCAGCCGTGGCACTGTAATTCACATGCCTCAGGTGGTCCGGGTAGCAGGATCCTTTATTATATGGAAAAATTAAAATTTTAGAATCATTGGTTGGAGCCTTGCTCTCTCCGCTCTACTGAACACAATGAGTCTAAAATTATGGTTTTCCAGCATTCTGCTCTTGCGGTTTGTTGTTCGATTAATCAGATATTACAAACTGTATGTTCTCTGTCAGTGTGAAATGTACTAAACAGATGGAAAAATGAGAGTTGGATCAAGTGAGAAATTCTCACACTGATGTGATCATTATCAAATATCCGCACACAAACCATCTGCTGCATGGGTTTAAAGTACCTCATCTTCCCTAGGGGAAGACAACACTTCACGTCTTCATATCATTCAGTCAAGAAGGGCTAAAACTGATTGTAACATGAAATATGCTGGACAACGAGGTGTGGCTTTACTTGTCGATGTCAAAATGACTGGGGCAGCCAATCAAATCAAAGAAGGCGGGCTTTACTGTTCACAAAAGCCAACCATGAATTACAACACAAAGCTTCAGTTTTAGCTGTAAAAGAGAGCAAGGTAAGCCCTAGCTAAACATTTAATATTTGACAACTGTTTTCTGATAAAAATGTTTGAAAATACGGTAAAGGTTACAATTTACGTGATTCATGTAACAGCGCTGTTTTTGGCATTTTAGGTATAATCCGCCAACTTCCACCAAGCAACAGCAAATGTGACCTCACCTTATGTTTTTTAACTATAGTCATGTTAGCAACAACCTACTCTACTAAAAAGGTAGCTAACTGCATTACAACTATTGACATATACAACAATAAACATAGTATTTAGCTCCATTCAGAATAGTATGTTCTGACACAACAACAATTCAAAGCATTTAACAGCATTTGAACATAAATGTACACTAAATACCACCAATAAAGCTTGAAAACCCAATAACAGATCTGAGGTGAAAAAGCAATGCACTGAATATATTACTTAATGAAGTTATTATAATAATAATAAAAAAACTTGTTATATAATGCTTGCTATATGAATATGACAAAAAGCAATTTAACAAGTAGCTACCCTGCTACTTGTCGAATAAAGCAGATTATTATAGGAAAAGCTACTCTGTACTGAAAACCGCTGAACTACTAGAGCATTATTTAAAAATGCAGTTAAGTAAATATTTATTCAACACTTACTGTATGTGAATGTAAAGACACAAAGGAGGAGAGTAAAAACAAGAGAGATGCAGTGAACTCATATCAAAAACGCCCTTCAACCTGACCATCATACTCGTCATAACAGAGGCCAGGTGGTTAGAGAGAGAGAGACCGTCTGAGGCCTGGAGAGAAGATGGGCTTAAGCCAGAAACAATCTGCCAGAGAGGTCACTGTCAGCCCAGGGACCCCGGCATCCTTTTATTTCTTATTCAAACTCTTTCAAAGAGCCAGAATCTCTTTAGGCTGCCAGGAATCCCATAAGCACAATTAGCACATGGCACAAGCACAAAGCACAAAAGAATCCTGTTAAATTCTTTTACCACTTTGGTGTCATGGTAAAAACTTGCCATAATAAGTCTGATACATATGCGTACAAGCAAATCCACACATTTATATAGCATGCATGCCCCTAGGATGAAACTCCTCCGGCAGGAGTTCTCTGGCAGGCTCAGCTGTCTGAGAAACTCACAATATGTTGAATGTCAGTACAGTAAGGATCTAACCCAAATACTGAAAAAGACTCGAGGAAACCAACTGCATTGCCAGTCTCATCCCCCATCATTCTGAGGCTTTTCAGTTTATTCCCAAGGAGCGAACTAAAGTTTAGACACATCTGATGAAGTGCTTTGTGCTCGGTGAGCTGTAGTATATTGAGATTACAGAGAAGCATGTGGGATAATAGCATGTGTCAAAGTCTCCTTCTGTGACCCCAGCAATGTGAAGACAGGATTCATGGCACACATCCTAGACAGGGTTGAATATGGTTTGCTTCCTGCCAAAAGCCAGACAAGCCATGGGTTAGACACTCACTGAGTAGCAACATTTCATTAGTGTCTACAATATATAATGTACAAAATATGAGTAACGTAAGAGTAATAGCTTATTAATTGACCAGGAGCATTGACTGGTTGCTGACCGCTGACTCAAGCAAAAAAAAAAAATATATTACATTACATATTACACATACATTTTACATGTGTTGGCTATGGAAGGCCATTTGTGCCTTTAACCTAAAAATAAGGTAATTGTCCAATTATAAATTAATATTTATGTTTTGCAGTTGCAGAAACATTAAATGAAAAGCTACATAAAATATTCTTTAAAAAGTAATAAAAAACGACAAAAGCATACAACAATTTTACAACAAAATTACTAATACTTCAACTAAAATTAAAATTGAAAATATATAATATTAGATAACATATATAAGCTTATAAATATTAAGTCTGCAATAGAGGCGGTGACACATTAAGCTAAAGAAACATGGAACAAATCACGTTGAGTCTTTTTGGTGTGTGATATTAAAGTCTGTGGTATTTGTTATGGAAGGAAAGGACAGTTAGAAAATCATATATATTTAGGGGAACAAAGGAAATTAGTAAAAAGATTTTCATGGCCAATAAGAAATATTTATGGATTTAAATTTACCTGCTATTGCATGGGGAAGTTAATTTTGGACCTTGGTACGCACTTCAGAAAAAGCATCTTCCAATCACAGCTAGTCCCTATTTAACTCCAGCCCTTAGTTAAATTATTTTCAAATTAGACTTCACATTTAATTATGTTAACACCAGCTCATCAACTGCATTCTGGGATTCATTAATGCCATATACTTAAACAGCCTGTGTGCTCTTATTTGCATGGATGTCTAGATGCATCCATATTTCAAGTTAGTATCCTTTCAAGTTAGTATCCTTTCATCAACAACCAGAAAAAAATTACTGCAGAAAAACAGAAATCTTCCGTTTTTACCCAAATAGCTTGTTAGATCTGGGCTGAAGGGAGTAAGGTGGACTTCAGCGTGCAACTAAAACTAAAAACATTTACAACATAATAATTCTGAAACCCACTTGATCTCCATCAGAGCAGGTGAGTGGGCATAGTGTCACACTCTTCAATTATTAATGGTCACCGCTAATACAGCTTATTAATGCATGATGACAGCAGCACCCACTGGAAGACCTTATTCTGTGACAAAAGTGACATATTTTGAAATAATTTTGATACACTTAATGGGTGCAGTAAAATTTTACAAAGACATCTAGTATTCTGAATAAGAGAATGGACTCTGAAGAATCAATGTATTTGTAATACCCATATATATTGTACAGAAATATATACATTATATATGTGTGTGTGTGTGTGTGTGTGTGTGTATAGACACACACACACACAAATTTTCCCAGAACAAAAAACTAAACTTTTATGTGTACATCTACATCACATCCAAGCCTTTCAGTGTAAATGCCACCTAAATGACCATTAAAACAACTTAATGCATATCTCTAAAATAAATAAATAAATAGAACTAAATGGCATTGTGAGGTCAAATGTCCTTGGTGCCACTGTAGGTTGAAGGTCTAACAGTCTGGGGTTTCATCTCTCTGTCTCTCTCTCCCTAGTGTGCTGATGGTAGTACAGCCCCAGGCAGTCTTCTCATCCAAACACACACACACGCACACACACGCACACACACGCACACACACGCA